TTCAAAGTTGAATGAAGCCCAACATGACGGCAGCGAAGCCCTTCTCAGCTCTGACTGTAGCAGAGTTTGTAGCACTGAATAAGTCCTATTTCACTTCATGGACTACCTGCCTTTGCTGGATTCACAAGTCAAATCAAATTAATTTAGTCAGAAGTGAATCTAAAAGTAATGACTGGGCATCTGGTCGGTGGTGGAAGAAGTACACATACACGGTTACAAGTAAAAGTACTGCATTCACAATCTAAAAGTACAAAAATATGATGGGACAGTATGTAATCTCCCATTCCAGAACATTATACATTAAATTACTGGATTGTTACTTTTTCAGCACAAATGTGTTCATCACATCTGGTACAGGTGGAGCTACTTTTATTAACGTTATAAAATAGTGCTGGATATTTTAACTATAACTTTATAGCATAGTTTAGGTCTTAATTTATTTGTTTTTGCTAATAATCTGAACCTGTGAAGTAATAAGTAACTCATTCTGTAAAATTAATGTAGTGGAGTAAAAAGTAGATTATTAGCTTCCAAAATGTAGTTGAGTAGAAGTATAAAGTAGTATAAAAATAAAAATACTTAAGTTACAATTACCACAACATTGACTTAAGTACAATACTTGAGTTCTTCATTACACCACTGCATCTGGTAGACATCTTTATTTGGATTTTCCTGCTGCCACATCAATTATTCTACTGTATGCTTATTGCATTCAAAAATATAGAGTAAGATCAAATATAATCAGAAAAGTTGGATGCAGGACATGTGCATGTTTGGAAACGACTTCAATGTGTTCCACAGATGAGCAGTGTGAGGGGGAGACGGAGGATAGAGTGCATTACGATGAGTTCACTTCCCACTGTGCAGGGCCTGCCTTGTCACACTGACTTACTTTGAAGGGTTTATGTGACTTAGAACTTTGTCAACAAACTGATGAGATTCAGAACCGGTACTTTCTTCAAAGGTCCTCACTAGCAAATGCACACACACCCACCCAAACTCTCCACACATCATTAGAAACTCAACTTTTGAGGGAGCAAAACGTCACAAAAGTATTCATATAATCATATAATCCGTTCTTATTGTGCATCCATGGGTAAAGATAAACGCATGTAGTGCTGAACCTGCTGAACACGTCACATGAACGTGCCGGGTGGCGCGGTCCTGTGGGTTAGATCCGCGTTCATGATGCAGAGGGAGATAACTCCCAGAATAACGTTATTAGCACATTTTACAACTTGAGGACCGAATGTTTTTAATAAGGGCTATACAAACTACTGGGTAGTTTATTTAGTTTAAAAAAAATTATCCAACGATTTACAGACCACTCTTTCCCAATGTTAGTCAATGGGAAAAAGTTTTTCCAGGCCCAGCGACTGATACGGAAGTGTAGTACCGCCGTTTGGCCACAACCAATATTTTCCTCAGTGTCCGGCGCACTCTGTTCGGTGTCAGTGTCCGGACACACCACATGTTCCTTATTTGCATCAACACTAATGCGCCTTTGATCCCACATCCTGCTGCCATAGATGCTTAATAGTGCACCAAATCAACAGCTGAAAAAAATCCCAAACAAATGAACTTCTTCCTCCTTTCTGATTCCAATGTGCTACACGCCTGTTGTGTTCACCTGCAAGATGGCGTTTTTAATCTTTAGTTTTCTTTAATGCATTTCAGTAGGAACCAGAAAGTTCAAGGTGACAGATGAAAACCTTGTTGGTTTTGGTGTTTTAGTAGGATTTATTTTACGGTAAGAAAAATATGGAATAAGAGGGACCATGAAGTCCACAATAGAGCTGTCATGATATGTTTTACTAAGTTTTTACCAAAAGAACAAATATTTGGTTGATTAGTATAGCAATTGTTGTTAAAATTGCAGAATAAGCTGCTATTAAGACTTCAAATATAGATATTTTCTGCTTTCCTCTGTTTGAATTAGAAAAATTATTTGGGTTTTGGAGCTCACCTTTCCCTTTAAGACACTGGAATAGACTTTTTTCACATTTTCTACACTTTACAGAACAAACTATAAATCAAAAAAAATAATAATAAGATGGATCAATAATGAACATAATCCTTAGTGTACTCTACCCTAGTCCACAGTGTTCATATTAGCCAACAGGAGGGACTTGGCAATAAAAACACAGGAGAGATGACTTATTGAAGTAAACCCTGGTGACTAACACCTGAGAGGGAGGGGAGAGCGGGCTCTGACATTACAGAAACTATCAGTGACTGATGTACTAAATTGATAGAAGTTACAATAAAAGCTCATGAAGCCATGACCAGAAACCAAGGACCTATAAAAGCTTTTTCTGAAACACCATGTCAGTAAGACGTATATGTTGTCACTGGAATAGATAGGTATGGATTGTGAATCAATTAGGTCACATAAGAAGACCAACAATCTTATTCTGTGTAAAATAAAAGCTTGGAAGCTGAAGTAGAGGTAGAGTGTCAGTATAATCGTGAAATGGGTCTGTGTAAGGAAGACTTTTTTTTGCTGTAAGGGATCATTAAACTGAAAACTTTGAAAGCCCTAGTTTCGAAGATCCAAATGCCTGACTAATAATTTTAGTCTCTTTTAGTAATTTCCCATGGAAGCCAGACAGCTTGAGCTTCCTGTGATGAAAAGGAGAACTGGGAAATGTTAGTATTTATATGTGATGGGGATTAAAGTCGGAGCACAGAAGTGGAGGCTAGCACTGAGACCAAACATGTTATATCGTGTAGAGCCTGTGAGAACATCTTGTGTGGCCTTTTCAAATACTCTAGCTGTTTAACATTTCAACAATTCTAAGGTTCAGGCACACAATCTGTGACAGTGGGTGTTTCTCAATGTCGAGGGATGCTGCTCCAGAGCCATTATTTCAAGCATACTACATCTACCGAGGCCAGCGTAATTCGTAGCGAAAATTTTTGAGGCTGCACATGTGTAGACTCCACGGTCTTAAAATCCCCACAATGCTTTGCGTACGGACCAATTTCCAAATCTTTGGCGGAAATCGCGCTCCATTTAAGGCGGGGCCTCGCATATGACGCACACCTGTTACCCTGTTCCACAATTCTTCGTTTTCCGAGGCTAGGAAGGATTCTTGCCTCGCTTCTGAAGCAAGTGACTCGGAAGACATGTGCTAACAAGCAAGCGTCCTCGACATTGAGAAACACCCACTGCCTTCATCACAGAGTTCCTGGGGAATATATCTCCTTGGTGTAAAACATGTTTGTCAGTCACAGTAAAGGGGGCTACTGTTCTGCTTGTCTGTAGCTTAAAGGCTCCCTCCCCCTTCTTCTCTGCAATGTTTCCTGAATCTGTCTGTCTGTCTTTCTGTGTGTTATATACTCTCTCTCTGGGTTGTATTCCTCAAATATACATGTTGGGAAAATACTCGATGTACTCTTTCAATATCAGAATACACATGATAACAAAGGCCCATCTGTAGCTTTGTACGTAGCAGGATGTATGATTACCTAGAAGAGCATCAGAACTGTTTTAGGCACATGATAGCTATGTGATTAACATGATGATTCAGCCTCTATGGAGATAAACATATGACAAGCATGATCTTTTCTGATGTGGGTCTAATCTGAACTAAGCATAGAATACTGCTTTGAACCGGTATTCCTCCATCTTGTGACTGCGATACTCCGTCTCTTGTATATCAGCGTGTGAAGGACACTGTTCAGAACTAGTTGTACCAAATGCTCTGTATGTGATGACTACTTCCATTCTTGCAAGGATAATGAATACATGGATCCTGATATTGAAGCTCAAGCCGGTGACGAGAGATATTTTTCTAACAGTACATGTCATAACTTTACCACATCTCCTCCTCTCCGTCCTCCATTATGTGTTTTGTTTCCTCCTTCTTCCTACGATGTGTGTTATCTGAAATCTGTCTCGGTGCTATAAATCTGTGTCTGCAACCTGCAGGATCACGTCCACCCTCCACCTTTCATGTCTTCATTTAGACCTACTTGCGTTCCGTCTTTTTTTCTTTGCCGCACTTAGCCTCTGTTGTCCCGCGGTGTCATCTATCACCCCCCCCCATCCATCTCACCATCTATCTTTCTTGATTCTATGTTTTCCACACAGCCGTACTCTTTCTCCTCATTGATCTTCTTGAGACAATCTATCAGGAAGAGATTGGCTAATACTAGACTTTGAGGTTTTAATTTCATAGGATGACTTCATATTAGGACTGGGCAATTAGCCAAAATCTTCTTCCATGATATAGGTCTTCTCATATCTCCATAACGATATTTATCACAATATATTATGTTTCGCTTAGCATGTGAATTAAAAGTTTGAAGTTCTGGTTGATTTACCATTTAAGTCAGAATTTAGTGGAAAATGAACATCACAGTTTCAAGGGAAATTACACTATAGAGACAATCAAATTGTCTATTGCATAAAATCACTGCCAATGTGAAATGTGTTGTCAAACAAATCCCTTGTCTGAAATAAAATCCCATGAGAAATTTGAGTTATTACATTTAATTGAATATACTTCCAAGCTTTGAAAAATGATTAATACGTCGAAACAAACAAGTTATATATACATATATATATATATATTATATATACTGTATATAGAGAGAGAATACACAATCAAATTCCATAAATCATAAATAATGATGAACATATACAAATGACTTCAATAAGCCACACAAATGAAGTGTTCCAAATGTAGGATCAAGGAGAAACTGCTTTCCTAGTCTAACTATCTCGTACTGTATCTGCTTGTTATTTAAATTTGGTCGATTTAATGGTGTATCATTTGTTGATATATTATTTCCTCACAATTTCATGGAAAGACAATTCATTATCATATTGAATTAGCCTGTATCACTACATAGAACCAGAGCTGCTCTTTTAGTATCTAATTAACTCATATGCCTCTTTTTCCCTGCGGCAGACAGAGGTCAGAGTGCTAAAAGTGTTATATCATGTTTTCCTCATCCTCTCCATATTACGGATTCCACTTTCCCGCTCCTAGCAATCGTTCCCTGTGCAAGCCATATTGGAGATAATTTATTTCATGTCTCGTCCTCTCACCTCTCCCCAGGCTCGCGTCCCCGTGACTGCGGTGATCTGTACGCCAGCGGCCAGCGAGAGGACGGCATCTACTCTGTGTTCCCTGTGCACCACCCTGCAGGCTTCCAGGTCTACTGTGACATGACCACAGATGGAGGAGGCTGGACGGTGAGTCAGAGGAGAACACACACACCTATAATGCTATACACACACACACACACAACCCTCATAAGCTGTATGAGTATATGCCTTAAATAGAGACAGCCCCTACATTTATAGCAGGGGTATAATCAAAATAAAAACGGGGAAACAAAGGCATGAAAGAATGTCTGCTTTTACAAATCTGTTTTATAGAGGCCTTATATGCTTCTGTGGTTTTCCCTCTCCTGTAGTGTCTTCTAGGTTGTTGTGCATGTAAATGGTCTGCAAAGGCTAAAATCCCTTTGTTCCCTCCAGAGGGAGTTTCTCTCACACTCCCCCCCCCTGCCTGAAACGCCTCAATTGGACTCCTTTGTTTACTTCACACTTGTATTGGCTAGGGTTCCAACAAGTTATACGTGATAGGCTAAGGCGCAGACATCACTAAGCGGTTGACCAATCACAACAGAGCCGGCCAGCTAACCAATCAGAGCAGGCTGGTCTCTGGTTTCAGACAGAGGGTGAACTATCCACTATACTGTGTTTATTTTAATGTAGTACATTCAACTGTTTAGGTTTTAGTGCATGTAAATGGTCTGAAAACAGGTAGTATGAGAAAAATAAAGAGCTTTTTGAACATTAAACATGGAGACATGTCACATTAGAGCCGCAAAGTACAAATATGAACCTGAAAATGAGTGTAAAATCCTAATTTATTGAATAACCCCAACATAGAAATTATTCACTAAGCATAATTTGTTCTAACTGCAGCATGGGTTCAATTCAAAATTAGTCATACAGTGCAAGAGGTCGTTTGCTGTTTTTCTGGGCACCTGCTGTGATTACAGATGCACCGCCTTAAGAATCTCGTGCATCTATCTGCAAAGGACTCATCAAAGTGTTATCACAAGGGATCTTACGCAAAGGTTTCATGCAGACCTGTTTGAAAGCTGTTTTTATTTTTGGTTTTTCATTTAGAAAACATAACACTAATTAGTCACATCTAAGTGAGGGTGTCATAGGTAGATTGCTTAAAGGAAAATGAATAAAGAAAAAGCTAGACAAAGAGTGATGAGACAATGAAGCAGAGCAACAACACATAAATGATATCCGAAGAGTCATGATGTGTTTATGGGTTAAGTTAATGCTCCCATGATGACACAGGTAAGCTGTTACCTTGACAAACGATCACATAACACCACAATATCATGGGAATCTAATCACGATGCTCAGTCTGACGCTAACATATTTCTCCTGTTATAAAGATAGAATTGTTTACAATAAGCAAGAAACAATGCTCATTAAAATCCAGCTTCCATATTGCATGTGTCAACAAGTTTTCTTCTTGCTTTTAATTCAGAAACAAGAATATGTGTCCATTACAACTGGTGCATGTCTGACCTGTTTAAGTTTTGGTTTGTCTTTCTGTAAAAACATAAGAAGAAGAAAAAAAGGACACTTAGAGTTCTTCAAATGCTTTTTTCCCTTGATCAAACATCCGTCAGTTACGAAAGTAAACAGTTGTTTAAGTGAGAGTGTATACTGGAAGCACTGTGTCTTTTGGGAATGAGAGACAGCGAGGTGAACAAACATTGACACTGAGCTGTTTGAAGTTATATTTGGAAGTTCGGTTTAGATGTATTTTACTGTGAGGGCACACACACACACACACACACACACACACACACACACACACACACACACACACACACACACACACACACACACACACACGCACGCACGCACGCACGCACGCACGCACGTACTCACTCACTCACTCACTCACTCACTCACTCACTCACTCACTCACTCACACACACACACACACACACACACACACACACACACACACACACACACACACACACACACACACACACACACACACACACACACACACACACACACACACACACATACTCACACTCACACTACATACACATACTCACACACACACACACACACACACACACACACACACACACACACACACACACACACACACACACACACACACACACACACACACACACACACACACACACACACACACACACACACACACACACACACACACACACACACACACACACACACACACACACACTGGTTAGAGCCATTTATTTCTCTTTGTTCTGAAGTATACTGTAGCCGTCCTTAGGGGAAGAGGAGCCGTTCTGAATAGAGAACTGAGGCCTTGTACCACTTCAAATGCCAGCTACATGAATCCATCACAACGTATTTTTTTCACAGGTTTTGATGCATGTATTTAAGCCTCAAGGATCTGATTTAGCTATTTAGAGATCTATTTGCCAAATCTATACTATAAATTGCTATGGAAATAACGTCTGTTTCTTTAATGCCGTACGAAGTGATGCAAGGCTGCATTAAAAAGCGTAATAAATACATTTACGGCCTATATTAAATCTGCTACCTTCTTTCAGCGTGTAAAATGTGTCACTATCTTGACATAATGTCCCCGGATAATTTTAGACTACTTAAGACGGACATGTTTAATCTTCCTCCCATGAATGTGTGACGACGTTATGAAGATCTGAAAATGTCTACATATTTTCAATCAGAAGTGTTTCTCGGACCTGTCAACAGCTTATTGTGCACATTTATTTGCGATTTTTACTATTTTTAAATGTAAACACTATGAAAATATTGTCAGGTATATTAACAATTACACTTAGAAGAAAAAAAATGATGTGTATTCTCATCTATCTCTGCCCACTTCATATTGCACACTCACTAAAAACACAAACAGCAGATATCAAACTTCAACTCAACTCATGGCAGTGATTTGTTTGTGTGTGTGTTTGCTTGTAAATCGGGGACTAACTGCGTGAGGTAGGCAGGGTTGTACCCTCCGATCATCAAATAAAACAAAACTGTCAGAAGGACAGAGTGCTGAGCACAGCGTGATGGAATAGTGCTACATAGCAGACTGTCAGGGGGTAAGTGTGTGTCTGTGTGTGTGTGTGTGTGTGTGTGTGTGTGTGTGTGTGTGTGTGTGTGTGTGTGTGTGTGTGTGTGTGTGTGTGTGTGTGTGTGTGTGTGTGTGTGATCATGGTCCCGGCTTAGCTTCCTTCTCACACCAAGTGTTAAGTAACATATTGTCCCATAATGTGATTTACACAGCAGCTCCGATTGGGGATATAATGCAGCCGTTACTGATCCTTCCTGGTGTGTTGAGCTGATTGTGATAACGCCTGAGATCCTCATTAAGAGATCGGCAGGAAGGGAGAAGGGATGCTCGGTGAGTTGAGTGGCTTACTGTCTGGGTTTAAATAAGGAATGAGCCATATGCCACCTGATTAGCATACTTTGACATATACCGTAGCAGTGTTGCAGAGGCTGCTGCACACACACTCGGAGAGGAGCAGGGTGTGCTTCAGAAGACATTACATGTCATTTGTTAGACTTACATACATTCAGTACTGTGGACAATCCCCACAGGAGCAATTTGGGGTGAAGTGTCTTGCCCAGGGACACAACGACATGCTGACTGCAGTGGGACTCAAACTTGCTATCCCCTGATTCAAAGTCCAGCGCACTAGTGTCCACTGAGCCACAGCCTCCCTCCACTGAGCCACAGCCTCAGACATAAAGAACAGACGGCCTGATGTGGAGAGAGAAAGTGAGATATACAGATAAAAACACAATAAGGGAGCAGCAATTTCATTTCTTCCCTCTATACTCTGAAATGTATTCATTCAGATGTGGTGAAAGATAAAATCTCTCAGTTATATTATATTTGCAGTATAAAGGTAAGCCAGAGGGAGCCTCCAGGATAATGCAGCTGTCTTAAGTAATGGTGACAGCAGGAACAGGACTCTGGATTTAGATGTCACTCAGCAGAACTGTAGCGTCAGTCAGGCATGACCTTTGGGAGGATGTTTGTTCATATGTCTGTTCACATGTCTACATATACAGCAATCAAAATTCACTGTAGCCCAACAGAGATTTGTTTGAGTCAGTATGACGACAGTAGGGTTTGTGGGTTAGTTTCCAAGCCCCCATTTTGATTTAAAGCTTTGCTTTAGAACATGTTACAAAAAAAGAACATCATATGTCATCAGCTTTTGAATTCATTATTTTGCATAATGTTGATCTGTATGGTCAAACAGCCGAAGAACCTGGCCACCGTCACATGCCACAGTTTAAAACTTTTGTATGGGAAATTATGATTATCAAGTGAAAAAAAATATATATATATATATCTATACATGTATATATTTTAAATGACTTAAACATTTACTTAAGGTCTTAGAACTTTTCCCAAAATCCATCAGCTGATGGCTGTTTTCCATACTGTTGCTATGCAGGATGCAGAATCAAACAGCCCAACCCAACCTGGCCGCCAACAAATGCCACAGTTCAATTTATTTTATTTAACTATTATTATCAAGTGAATGGAAAGCTATAATGCTTTAACAATAATTATATTCTGGAAGTCTTACATGCCACAAGAGATTAGATCCATTTAGTTTAGATATGGTCCCTTTGTAAGGTGACCAGTCAGAAGGTACCATGTGGCCACTCAAGTCGTGACTATTGATGTTAAATTAAATTGGTAAATGATCTCATGACGGATCATGTATAATCCAGACAAAAGCAGACTAGTAAGTATGACTAGTTGTACTCGGCTGTAGAGACCTTGTATTCTGAATGCTGTGGGTCTCTCTCGCAAAGATTAAACACTCAGAAGGACAACTCTTTTTTCCATCAGTTTATTCATGAAAACATTTCAAAAGCCAGGCTATTCCAATGTGAAACTAGTACATTGCAAAATACCACACATACTATAAATATCTTAATGCCATATGATGTGGTAACATCAATGACGGTACTGCTTCATCAATAGTGTTTGCTGAATATTTCAAGTTAGAAATAATTGTTTTCTTTACGGTGCAAGGCAAGTTTATTTATATAGCACCTTTCAACATAAGGCAATTTCAGAGAAAAAAATAGATAGTGTGTACCATGCCTGTCAGGTTTTTTTCAGAAAACCGGCGACATGGGAA